TAACCTGTCACTTTTTAATCGGAGCCATTTCCAAATCATCAATTTGCTTTCTGATAGTGAGTTCTCTTCTTTTGATGTATATGCTTTTGATATCATTTTAGTGGCATCATTCGTTGGCTTACTAAGGAGCTGTGCATGACATCGCCTCAATGGATAGTATATTGCTTCAAGGAAGGCATCGTGGTGACAAGAATTTGCCATACAACCAGATGCCCACTTATAACTTTCATAATGATCAATAACCTGACCATTTGTTAGTTCTAGCTCAGATGATGACATATTGGTAAGTGTTAAATTTTCAGGAATCATATCTAATTCTATATCTGAAACAGCAAAAGGCGTAGTGGCGGTAACTTCTTTAAGGCTAAAATCATCTTCCAAACAACGCTTCACAGCTGTTATTTTGTGTTGTTGAATATTCTTGTTTACAACATTATTTACATCAAGTTTTGTATTATCTACATGTACAACTTCAGTGAGTTTAATTGATGTTGATGTAATTAACTGTGTATGTGTGAGTTAAACACAATCTCATTATCGGAATTACATGAACCATTATTTATAGTTACTTGTAGATTTCCAACAGATTCGTCTGTAAATCCAGTAATATTAATTAGTGATTCATCGTCACTATTACATAATTCCTGGGTTATTTGGACTGTAGGCAATCTGATTAAAATCTGATGTAGTGTACGGGCTTTAATTATTTTGGCTATAAACTTATTTTAATTTTATTTTTTATTACTTTTGTTACTAATTTTATTTTATTTTATTTTATTTTATTTTATTTTATTTTATTTTATTTTATTTTATTTTATTTTATTTTATTTTATTTTATTTTATTTTATTTTATTTTATTTTATTTTATTTTATTTTATTTTATTTTATTATTTTACTTTGATTTTGATTTTGTGATTTTTTTAATTCCGCCCTACCTACATCTGAGCCGATGCCTATGTAACGAGATTTCAACGAGACCCACTATCGACGATTTTAGTCAACGAATCACATACCTCCTTCTATAGCGCACATGATGACGTCACCGGGCGGACACACTCAAATAAAATGGCGGATTATACCGACCGAGAATAACACGGCTTTTCGGTAAGTTTATCATGTC